TGGCCAACTCCCGTGTCTCTCCCCAGCCCCGATCATGCATCTGAGGGGTCCCTCAGCCTGGCCTGCACCTTCTCACAATCTGGGACCCTACAGGGGATGTCAAAGAGCCAGTTTCAGCCTGATCCTGCAGGCCAGGCCAAGGGACTCTACTGGTGCATGAATTCGTGTCCCGGGCCTCCAGTTTTAAAATAATTAAAGATGCACACAGTTGTAAGAAAAAATACGAACAGAGCCCCTGTAGCTTTTACTCATTTTCCCACAATGATCACATCTTTGCAAGCTACACTGAGATACCACAGTCGGGCTATTGGCACTGACACAGTCCAGACACAGAATGTCCCATCCCACAGGGTCCATCTCAGAGCCACACCCAACTCCCTTCCATTGTGACACCCATCAAAATCAGCTGTGCATATTTGTGTGGTGAGGATCCTGGGTTATCTGTTCTGCTCCATCAATCTCTGTGTCTGTCCCTCGGTATCTATCCCAATGTCACACCGTCTTGATGATTGTAGCTGTATATTAAGTCCTAAAATTAGATTGGCAATTCCTCTCATTTTATCTTCTTTTTCTAAATTGTTTTAGCTATTCTAGTTCATTTTTGTTTTCATATAAATGTTAGAAAATACTGTCTATTTCTACAAAAAGTCAATCCTGCTGACAGAAGTTGTGTTAAACCTGTCTATCAATTTGAGGAGAATTGACATCTCTACTATGTTGAAGCTTCCAGGTAGATCTCATTTATTTATATCTTCTGTGATTTTTTTCCTGGATATTTTGTGGTTCCCAGCATGCATTTTCTGCATCTGCTTTGTTATATTTTTACCTAAAGTTTTTGATGTGTTTGTAAGTGGCCTTGTGATTTCATTTCAGCATATGGTCATTGGTCATATATGTAAATACAACGGATTGCATGTATATGTCTTGTATCCTGTGACCTTGCTGAATGCACTTGTTAGTCTTAAGAAGGTTTTTATAGATCCCGTGGAATTTTCTATGTAGACAATTGTGTCATCAGCAATCAGGGATGGTTATATTTCTTCCCCTCTCATATGCGTGCCTTTCACTTCTTTGTCTTGCCTTGTTGCACAAGCAGGCACTGCCAGCACTGTGCTGAGTAAGTGCAATGAGAAAGGTCCTTGCTTTGTCACACCCTCAGGGAAAAGCATTCAGTCTTTCACCATCATTAAATATAATGTTAGCTCTAGGTTTCTTGCAGATTTTTTTATCAACTTGAAGAAGTTCCCCTTTTTCTGTTTTTCTGAAGCTTTTATCATGAACAGATGTTGAATTTCTTCAAGTGCTTTTTATGAATTGATAGGATCGTATAATTTTTTCTTCTTTAGCCTGTTAATATAGTTGATTACATCGATTTTTTTTTACTATTTAGCCAGCCTTGCATCCTTGAAATAAACTCCACTTGATCTCAATGTATAATTATTTTTCTATATTGCTGAATTCTATTTGCTAACTAAAGGGCTTTTACATTGGTATTCATGAGGGATGTTGGTCTGTATTATCTTTTTTGGTTGTCTTTGGATTTGGTATCAAGTTAATACTAGCTTCATAAAGTGAATCCAGATGTGTTCCCTCCTTTTCTGTTTTCTGGAAGAAGTTGTCACGACCCACAGGCTGAGAACCACTAGCAGGGTCACCTAAGACCATCGGAAAACACAGATATTTACATTACAATGAATCTAATGAAACATAGATTCATTAACAGTAGCAAAATTACAGTTATGAAGTAGCAATGAAAATAATTTTATGGCCGAAACCAGTTTGGCTCAATGGATAGAGCGTCGGCTTGGAGACTGGCGGGACCTGGGTTCGATTCCGGTCAAGGGCATGTACCTTTGTTGCGGGCATATCCCCAGTAGGGGGTGTGCAAGAGGCAGCTGATCGATGACTCTCTCTCATCGATGTTTCTAACTCTCTATCTCTCTCCCTTACTCTCTGTACAAAATCAATAAAATATATATTTTTAAAAATAATAATAATAATAATTTTATGGTTGGGGTCATCACAACATGAAGAATTGTATTAAAGGGTCACAGCATTAGAAAGGTTGAGAACTACTCTCTAGTAAAACCAGTTGTACCTGAAAATTTCTTGGGGGGAGAGGGTTAATTAGAAATTTAATTTCCTCAATAGTGACAGACTGTTCAGATTACTTCTTTCATATTGGATGAGTGTATGGTTCATGATTTTCTGGGAATTGGCCCATTGCCACCTGAGGAGTCAAATGCATGTGTATGAAAGTTGTTCATAGTGTTCCCTTATAATCCTTTCGATGTCTGGAGGGTCTGTAGTGATCTTCCCTTTCTCATTCTGATTTTGGTGACCTACCGTAGGTCTTCTCTCTGTTTCTCTGTGGGTCTTCTTCAAAGTAGGTCAATTTACTGATATTTTTAAATAACCAGCTCTTCCTTTCATTGATTTTCTACATTGTTTTTCCGCTTTCCATCTAATTAATGTCTGCTCTTTATTATTTCCTTCCTTCCTTCTGCTATTGTTGTGGGTTTATTCGGATTTTCTTTTTTTGGGCCCTTAGACTATTGAGTGGAGACTTCCTCTCTACTAATGTAAGCATTTGGAGCTATAAATGTCCCTCTGTGAATTGCCTTTGCTATGTCTCACAGATACCTTTCACGGTGCTATATTTTCATTTTCACTTGGCTTGCTGCCTTTTTAAATTTCTCCACAGACTTCCTCTTTGGTCCATGGATTAGTTAGACATGTGCTGTTTGATTTCCAAGTGGTTGGAGGCTTCCCTGCTATATTTCTCTTCCTGATTTCTAGCTGGATTCTCTTGTGGCCAGAGAACATGCTATCTATGGTTTTCGTTCTTTTTAAGTTTGTTGAGGTTTTCTTTACAGTCCAGGATGTGGTCTATCTCGGTAGGCACCCGAAAAGAACGCGTGTCCCACTATTGTTAGGTGGAGTAGCCTATAAATGTCAATGGTTTGATGGCCTTCTAAATTTATCTCAAGACTTTGAGATCATTAACTCTTGGAGGTTAGGTGATGTATTACTTTCGACAAAGGTTTCAGGATGAGTGACCTGAAGTCCTGCTGATTCACCAGGGCGGCCTGTGAAGCCTTCGCCCTGGTGGTTCCCATCGATGGAGTCACCCATTTGTCCCCTGGTGGGTGTGAACCCCTCCAAAGCACAGGGCCTTGGATCGGGCAGCAGCTCAACACACAGCTCTATGAGTTTCCTGGTTGACATTTTCACTCAGATAGTTTCCAGAAACATAACAAAATGTCCTTTTTCTTCTTTGCATCAAGACATAGTTATGCCAAAACCGGTTTGGCTCAGTGGATAGAGAGCATCGGTCTGCAGACTGAAGGGTCCCAGGTTCGATTCCGGTCAAGGGCATATACATTGGTTGCAAGCACATCCTTGGTAGGGGGTGTGCAGGAGGTAGCTGGTCAATGATTCTCTCTCATCAATGTTTCTAACTATCTAAAATCAATAAAATATATATTAAAAAAAAAAAGACATAATTACACCAGAGGGAACCTTTGGTCTCCTGGTCTAGCCTTTCATTAGGCAGGTGAAGGGATGAGTTCTCAGGGGTTAATTTAGATTGGTGTGTTCTTTTAATTTTTTAAATGAAATAAACATATGCTTATTATCTAAATGAATAAGCTACAGAGAAGCAAAAATAAGAAAATAAGATTTACATAAAGTCTTACAACCAAAAAATAACTACCATTATTATTTCAAACTGTATCCTCCCAATGTTTCCAAATATGGGATCATACTGTTTTACAATCTTTTTTTTTTTTCTTTAACAGTAGACATGAACATTTTCCAAGATGTTATTTCTAATGACAGAATGGGATCCCACAGTATGGCTGTGTCATCATGTATTTAATGATCATTTGATAGACACAGAGACAGTTACAGCTTTCCCCGTGTGAAATAGCACTGGCGGCCAGCTCTGTGCACAGACATGAGTGTTTCCTGGAAATGGAGACAGCGGGTCAGAGCAACTGAGCACTTCCAGCTTTGGGATCCCATTGCCCAGTTGGATTTTTTTCCTTTCTTTCCTTTGTTGTTTTAGAGAGGAATGGTGAAGGAGAGAGAGAGAGAAACATCCATAATGAGAGAGAGTTGAGAGAATCATGGATCCGCTGCCTCCTACACTCCCTCTACCGTGGAATCAAGCCGGCAACGCGGGCACGTGCCCTGACCGGGAACTGAACCGAGACCTCCTTGTTCATAGATCAGCGCTCAACCACTGAGCCACGCTGGCCAGGGATTTTTTTATTTCAGTGAAGGGTTAGGCACAGAGTCCATACAGATGACAGGAAGTCACATTAAGCCTCGCGTAGGCTCTCCGTGTGTAGGGGCGTGACCTGATGGGCAGCTGCAGCCAAGCAGCGATCGCTCCCTGTCCATGAGCATAGACTGCTGGGAGACACAGCTCTGTGGGCATCTACACCTTCCCAAGAGGTACCCAGCATGGGCCAGGCAGGAAACAGGAAAGCAGGCAGGTCATGTTCAGCCTGGCCTGCGCCCTGCAATCCAGCCACCCAGCCAGGGTTGCGTGCCAGGCAACAAAGGGACAGGCTTCGCCTGCTTCCGCTCTCAGGACTGACCCCGAGAACACCGTGTTTTGCACTTAAAGCATGCCTTGAACCCTCTCTGTCATGGTAATTGCCCTCATAAAACGAGCTGGGAACTCCGTGAAAACATCCCCTCGTTAGAGACCCAGTCCCGCCTGCTTTTATAGCCAGTTTAGGATGGGAGGGCCACCCCGCCGAGAGGCATTAAAAGACAGGCTGGAGGCCTGGAGCAGCCCGGGGGAAAGAGCATTTGGAGGCGGACAGAAGAGGTCCAGAGTGCTGACGGGGTGTCAGAGCTTCCCTCCAGGTAAGGCAGCTAGCTCCTCGCCCAGGCATCCGGGCCACGTGCCCCCCGCAGCTGGGTCAGGCCCGGCTGACCTGCACACCCCTTCCTTTTTCCATCTGTCTTTCTCTTCGGCTCCGCAGAGAAAGAAGAATTGATCCAGAGCATGCTGACCCAGGTTGCAGAGCAGTTCTCGAGGTACAGACTTCAGAGCCGGTTCCTCCGGAGATGTGTGCGTGTTCTCTCAGTGGCGGGGGCAGCCCGGCTCGGCCGCAGACTCTTGCCTAGAGGAGCTGCCCTCCCAGCTCAGCGACTTTTGTACTCAGCCCGTCGGGTGGGGTCCAGGGAGCACTTATAGCAAAGGCCTCTGGCCAAGACCGAGTGAGAAGGAGAGCCCATGTTGCTGAGATTTTTCTCAACGGGCTCTTCCGGGACTCGGAGTTCAGGCTACAAGCACCGGGACCATTTTAAAATGGGCTTTCTGCCCTGGCTGGTTGGCTCAGTGGATAGAGCATCAGCCTGTGGACTGAAGGGTCCCGGGTTGGATCCTGATCAAAGGCACATGCCTGGGTTGTGGGTTCAATCTCTAGTAGGGGGTGTGCAAGAGGCAGCCAGTCAATGATTCTCTGTCATCATTGATGTTTCTCTCTCTCCCTTCCTCTCTGAAATCAGTAATAAAAATATTACTGACCTTTCCAGTCTAGTCGCTGTGGTATCTTTCCGCCGAGGGGAATTCAAATGGGGAGAGGCCATATGGGTGATACTTCCTTTTTTTAAAAAATATATTTTTATTGATTTCAGAGAGGAAGAGAGAGGAGAGAGAGAGAAACATTAATGATGAGAGAGAATCATCGATCGGCTGCCTGCTGCATGCCCCCTATTGGGGATTGAGCCCAAAACCTAGGCATGTGCCCCGACCAGACCAGGAATCGAACCCATGGCCTCCTGGTTCATAGATCGATGCTCAACCACTAAGCCTCTCTGTCTGGGCTGGGTGGTACTTTTTTGAAGCCCAAGAGTTGTTTGACTGACTGGGTTGGAGCCTGGAGAGGGCACCCAGGTGCCCTGAGGTGGTGTGTGCCCAGGGGGAGGGGTGTGTGCCCAGGGGGAGGGACGGGCAGAGCAATCCTGGGAGCACGGGCCCACTCCCAGCTGTGGAAGGAAACATCCCCCCTGGCATGGAGCCGCAGTGGGTCCCACTGGGCAAAGACACCTCCAGATAGTCTGAGAGCCTCTCTTCCCCCCCCCTGCACCCTCAGACAGGGCTACTTCCTTAAGCACCTCCTGGCATCTTCATGCCCGCCCCCCTCACCTGCCCACTTGCACACCTCCCCCTGCCTGTGATTCCACAGCTGTTTGCTGAGCCCGTTTTAACGCTGAGAATCGTATGGCTTATGCCTTCCTTTTTTTGTTTTGTTTTTTCCATTCCTAGAGCATTTAAAATCAACGAACTCAAAGCTGAAGTCGCAAATCACTTGGCGGTGCTCGAGAAACGCGTGGAATGTGAGTGCAGCCTCGGTTTCCCTGTCGCTCGGGTGTCCTTTGGCCTCGTAAACCAGGGGGGGGGGGGGGGGGGGGGCAGGGACGCGCGAGGGCTTCTCTCTGGGAGATGCCTCAATGTCAGTGTCAGCCAAGGCTGGGGCAGTGACCGACCCGTGCGCTTTAGACGTAACAAGTGCACGGTCGCATGCTGCCGGGGCAGCGAGGAAGGAACGCTCCCTGGCCACGGGGCCACGGGGGGCGAGGGGTGGGGGGGGTGGACACAGGGGACCTCTGGACCGGAGCTTCTGCTCTATGCACACCTCGTGGGTCTCCTGTACGTGAGGGAGGACACGCAGACCCACGCTCCGTGGTCTCACAGTTTGGGGGGAATGTGTCCACTGTCCCTGCAAGGAGAGCAGGAACCTGCTGGGAGCAGGGAGGGCCGGTTCCAGTCCTGAGTTGGGGGGATTTGGGGGGCACGCTGCTAGAATCCTGCAGGAACGCAACTTCAAGTGGAGCGGCCTGTGCGCCCTCATCCCTAGTAAGTGAGGGGCTGCGCTGGGACCCCATGTGCCCCCTCCAATGCCCGGTGCTGAAGGAAGGCTCTCCGACAAAGTCAAGGCAAAGGGCAGCGGCTCCAGGCACCTTATCTATGAGCTTCCAGGGTGACTAAACACCCAGAGCGGAGGCCGGCAGGGCTGCGGGGCCCCGACACCGCCCGGCTGATTCATGTCGGCCGGCCCGGGCAGGATGGCACCTTCCATTATTACCTCGCATGAATCGCTCGGGTGTTCTGGAGAAAGGACATTCGGGAGCACGGAAAAGCCAATTCGCCTCAGGACCAAGGAGCATGATTCACACCGCCATCCTTCTTCAAGGGCGGTGACATCCCTGAGAGCAATGACATCCCCCGTCGGAGCCGCAGAGCGGTTTTATTTTCCCCATTGAAAAGCCGCAGAGAGAGCAGTGATCTGCTCAAATGCGCTCAGCAAATGAGAGAAGTAAATAAGCCAGGGACCAGCACCGGGCGCCCGGCGGGGCTGCTCTCGCTGCCTGTGCCAGCCCGTCTGTGACATGGCACCTTCCTCCACGCCTGGCTGGGCACCCACTTGCGGGGAGGGGAGGGGAGGGCACCTGAGAATGTAGCTTAGGAAGGTTGTCGGCAGCCGAGCTTGCAGCTCTGGCCACCAACACCGGTTGTGGCTGCATTGAACAGAAAAGGGGTTTTTCCTTCCTTCCTTCCTTCCTTCCTTCCTTCCTTCCTTCCTTCCTTTCTTTTTTTCTTTCTTTCTTTTGTCCTTTCTTTCAAATTCTCCTATGAGGATATTTTTAGAGAAAGTGGAAGGGAGGGGGGCAGAGAGAGAGAAACGTTGATGTGTGATCCATTGCTTTCCTCCTGCATGCATGGTTGCCCTGACCGGGCCGGGGATTAAACCTGCAATCCAGGTTCATGCCCTTGACCAAGGATCAAACCCGAGATCCTGCAATCTTCGGCTCAACGCTTTAACTACTGAGCCATACCAGCCAGGGTGAAAAAGGGGCTTTTTTCAAAAGGATAAAAGGATTTGGAGGAGCTCCCGGGGGCACTGGGAGGGTCCCGGGAATAGGGCTGGGCTGTGCAGCAAGAAGGGGAGCTGGAATCCCAGCTCAGCTGACTCCGTGAGGATGCTGAGCTGCGTGTCAGAACCCCTGGCCACTGCTGCAGACGTCCAGCTGCTTCTCCATGTGCCGTGGGCAGAGGGGACCATGTGCCCACACCCTTGCTGCAAGACAGGCCAGACAACGTGCATCAGTCTCCTGTGGCTGCCATGACAACATACCACACCAAAAAAGGAGGCTGAAACCACAAAAAAAGAATGCTCTCGTGGTTCAAGAGACCAAAGTCCGAAGCCTCAGGGTCGGTTCCTGCTAGAGGCTGAGGGAGGATCTGCTCCAGGCCTCCTCCGGCTTCCGGTGGCTGCCAGCCAGCCTTGGCTTGTGGCCGCATCCCTCCAAACGATCTTCACCGAACTATCTTCACAGGCCTCTCTCCTCTGTGTCTCTGTGGCTCGCACCCCCTCTGCCTGTGTCTTACACAGACACCTGTCCTTGGATGTAGGACCCACCGTACTCCAAGATGCCCTCACCTGGAGGAACCTGCCAAGAGCCTTTTTCTAAATAAGATACCACTCACAGGGCCCAGGATCTGTGATGTGAGCATATCTCGGGGATGTAAGCCACTGCAGTGAGCGGTGGGCGTTTCCGTCCTCTGTGACGGGAGGCAAGCTCAGCTTCCTACCCAGCCCCGAAGAGGCGGGAGCTCTGCAAACATGGAGGGTTCAGCCAAAGAACAGAAATGAGTGTTTGCTGCTGAGTCCCCGTCTACATGGACAGAGGAGAAAGCGGTCACCACCGGGCATGCCAATGTCCAGGGCAGCGGTGCCTCCTGCTCTGCCTTCTGCCCTCACCCATCTCCCCCTCCCCACACGGGAGCCAGCTCCAGTGCCCACTGCCCACTGTTACTTGCAAACAGGCAAGGTGAAGAGACCACAAAGGAATTTTGAAAACCCCTACAGAAATCTACGTTGACCTCAACTTGGATAGCTTCCAGCGTCTGGTCTCCGATCTGAGGCCGAGGATCAAACCCAAGATCCCACAATCTTTGGCCCAACACTGTAACCACTGAGCAACACCATCCAGGGTGGAAAGGGGCATTTTCGAAAGGATTCGAGGGAAGCTCCCAAGTCCTAAAGCGTCTGGGACAACGATCAGGCCAGTCAAGTGCCATGTGAATGAAGGACCGTCAGAGGATGCAGCCCATAGGACCGTCTCCCCTGGCCTGTCTGAGGCCCAGAATTCTCTAGAACTGGCTTGCTGGTTGCCAGGAAGACATCTCCCTGCAGGTAAACCACAGAAACCTGCAAATTCCCATAGAGACCTATAAGAAGCATCACGCCCTCGCCCTCCATGCTCAGGCTCGCTGCATCAGTCGAAATCCCTGGTGTGTTTACTGGCAGTGCTAACTCCCAGCACCAAGACCCAGGATGCAGGACCGGCATGGAGGAAGCCGCCCTCTCTCAGGAGGAGGGAGGGCAGTGGGAAATGGCCTAAGAATTGTGGGTTTGGCAGTGGGTCCCCACAGCCACACTTTGGAGTCTCTGCTCCCACCAGCCCCCGGCTCCCCCAGCTCCTGGCTGCCCGCCTCGCATCAGGAACGTGGCCTGCGGGCTGACACCCCAGGAGGTGGCCACGACGTCCTTGGCTTTGGGCTGGCTTTGGGCTGGCCCTCTCCTGGTGCTTCTGGCTGCCACCTTCCCAGCCTCCAGCAGCCTCTGCCCCCACACTGAGTGGCAGGGATATCATGCCTGCGCTAATCCTCAGGGGGTATGCGTTCCACAGAGCCTCCCACAGACAGCAGCGCCTCACCCCAAGGACGTAGCAGGCACCCTGGAAAGGGAAAGGGGGCCTCTGAGGAGAGGGGTCCTGCGGCTGGACCTCTCGTGCACATCACTTGTGCAAAGGTCATCCTGGCTATTCAAAGGGGCAGTCCTGACCCAGCCATCTAGCTGGGCTGGGAAGGCTGTCAGGAACATGACTCTCTCTTTCACACACACACACACACACACACACACACACACACACAGATGCACAGACATACCCACATGCACTCACATGCATAACCCCCCCGTATGCACATGCATGTAAACACACAGATGTGTATACACATGCACAGGCACACACCCATCCGTGCAGCGTGGTCACATGCACACACACTTTCTCTGGTCCTTGTGAGCTGTTTTCCGTCTGGAGCGCGAGCAGGCGGCCAGCCAGCGCCGGCCATCTGTAGGCCACATTGCATTGTTTGACTTGTTTTCAGTGGAATTTCCTGCTTTTTTTTTTTTTTTCACCTTCCAAACATAACATTTTTCTCCATCAAATGTAAATCTCCCCATTTCCTTAATTCACTTTAAGAGTTTTTCTTCCTTTTTGTGTACAATGTTTGCCTTCCTCAAGGAGTCTGGGTTCCCTCTCAACTTAGAGATTATTTTGTAAACAAAGGACACCCAGGTCCTCGCTCACTTCCTGGTCAGCGATGAAGCATTGCAAGGGTTTCGCTTCCTTCCTTGTTTATGGGCCACTGTGCGGGACGGGGGGCCTGGAGGGAGGGGGCCCCTGCACCAGGGTCCCTGAGGATGGGCACAGGGCTTGGACTGAAACCCCTAACCACAGGGACAGCTGGCCCCGAGGGTCATGTAAACAATCGAGGAGACTCGAAGCTGAAGCCAAACCTGGCTCTTCTCCTTGTCGGCCAGGAAATGTGCTTTATGTGAATTCTTTACCGAAGTCCTTAGAGGAAGTGTTGAAACGGCTCACATGTCTTTAAACAGCTTTAACCAGCTCTGCAGCTGAAGGGGGCCACACACACACACACACACACACACACACACTCACACACGCACACACACACACACACACTCACACACACACATTCACACACAGAGACACATGCACACACACTCACACTCACACACACACTCACACACACACAGACACACGCACACACATTCACACACACACATGCACACACTCACACTCACACTCACACACGTGCACACGTACACTCACTCACATACACACACTCTCACACACACTCACACACACATACATACACACATGCACACGCGCACGCACACACACACGCACACACACGCTCGCACACACGCACACGTACACTCACACACACTCACACACACTCACACACACATGCACACGTGCACACACGCGCGCACACGAACACTCACATACACACACTCTCACACACACACATACATACACACATGCACACACGCACGCACACACACGCACACGCTCGCACACACGCACATGTACACTCACACACACTCACACACACACATGCACACGTGCACACACGCGCGCACACGCACACACGCCTCTCCCAGGGCCCTGGGAGGGGGCCAGCCCGGAGCAGAGCTGCCTCCGGGCCCGATCTGCTGCTCCTGCCGCCTGAGCCCCAGAGCTGGTGTCCCTCTGAGAAAACCGTCCTGAGAGGTTCTCTCTCAGCGGCCTGGGGCCTCCCCGACGGACACACCTAAAGTCCACATGAGGACCGCCAGGCGCCCAGGGGCCCCAGGAGTACACCTGCCCGGCAGGGCCTGCTGAGGGGTGCGAGCCGATGGGGGGGGGGGGGGTCTGGGCACCGCCGCTTCAGTCTGAGTTCCTGGCCTGCGCCCGCCTGAGTTTAACGTTCCAGATGGACGAGTGGGGCCGCACATAGGAAACGGACGTCCAGTCTCAGTTGGAGTCTCCCCGAGTCTGCGTAGGACTCTTCACAGGGTGGCCCCAGCTCCCCAAGGGGCCTTCTCCCCCTCAGGCAGGGCAGGCAGGGCTGGGAGGGGAGAGAACCAGAGAGGTCCAGCAGGAGGGCTGTGCCATCTTCCAGAAGCAGCCCGGTGTCTGGGAAAGGCCTGGGACTCAGCCCCCGTCTGCTGGTGCCGGGCCTGCCTCCATCCCGGCCCACGTTCGGCTCTGTAACCGGAACGCAGGGCGGGCGGGCTGAGACGGCGCCGTTCCCTCCCACTGATGAATGCACGGCTCTTGCCATCTGGTGATTCACCATCCATTTCCGTGGCAACCAGGCTCTTGCTTCGTAAAGGTGATTGCCATGACTCGGCGGGATTCAAAGTGGTGATATGATTCTGTGTGGCCCCCAAGGCTTAGTTTTAACATCACCCCCCAATACGTGGCCAGGCTTTCCAAAGTGACCTGTGTCCACTCCCGTATGGATGCAAACGTGACGTACCCACCAAACTCGGGGAGCTGGGAGGCGGCTGCCACCGATGATGGGGGGAAAGCCAGTGGGAAAACAGAGACAATAGCGTGTCCCAAGTCTATCTTTTTAAAATTAAGAGTAGACAGAATGCAAGGGAATGGGGGGGAAGAAATGCATGGGAGGACACATGCCAATATGTATAATACGAAATGGGTTGTTTTTTTGCCCCAGTAAGATGGTAGATAAATTTTTAAATATTCTTTGAGATGCACCGTATCGGTGTTTTCTGCAGTGATCACCTGTCATTGTGTATGAAACGATGTTTGAAGCATCATGAGTGTAACCACGGTCCCTGGCTGGCCAGGCGCAGCTGCCCCGCCGCGGGCTCTGCACGCAGGCTCCTCCCCGCCACGGCGCCCGGTCCAAATGCAGACCACGAAGGGTGTGCGCCCAGGTGCCTTTTCTAGGAAGAGAGCCGTGGCTTTCCCTGACTCCCTCACCAGTTCGGTGGTGCCAGGAAGAGCTGAGGACACGCCACGCCACGCGGAGGGTGTGTGTGTGCTCAAGGAGTGAGCAAAAACACGCCCAGCACCAGGGTCCTGCTTCCCCCACGGCAACGCATCTGGCCTCGGCTGGCCACCTCGCTGGTTCCAACCCCTGGCATTTAAGGCCCCTGACTTTGATCCCATGTCCTGGTTGAAGCGGGAGAGTCCCAGGCGTGGCCCAGAAGCCAGGACCAGTTCTGAGTGTCAGACCCTCCAAATGCTGGTCACGCTGGGCAGAGGAAGCAGTGTTTTGGTTAGAAGCCAGCCTGGGAGGGGATGGTTCCCGCCCGCTGCCCGGGCGCTGCCCTGGGAGCATTCTCCCCACGCGTGCCCTGGAGCCCAGCGCTGCCTCGGGGCGGGAGGAACCTTGGAGGCAGAGGCCTCTGTTCTCCTCAGAATTCACAGCGTTTGACTTCTGGCCCCGTTCAGAGCCGCTCTGGATGGAAAGGAATAGAGGGTCTGTGGCCGCGTCGTTCTGCACGAAAACGGAGGTGTGATTACAGAGCCTTTCATTCCTTGTTCACCGACTCCCATCAAAAAGCCTCTTCAGAGCCGACTCCAGCCTAAAAGCCTCTTCAAAGCGGCCTGCCTCCAGCAGCAGCTCTGGGCCACTGCGTGCCCACCGGAGTGAGTGCCCGGCGGCGTGAACGGCTGGAACGCGGGCTTGGAGGCCTAAGCCTCAGCTCACTTCCATTTCAGAGACAAAGCCAGAGAGAGAGCTAGAATCATCGATGATGAGAGAGAATCATGGATGGGCTGCCTCCTGCACGCCCCCCACCAGGCACCGAGCTTGCATGTGCTTTGACCTCCTGGGTCGTAGGTCAGCACTCAACCACTGAGGCACGGCCGGATGGGCTGCCCCAGCTCATTCTTTGATGAAAACTGCATTCCGGCTTTTCAGGCTCACCTCTGCCATTGGCTCCAGGAATGCCCTCCAGCCCAGGGCCTGCTCATCCTTCACCTGCCTGTTCATTTCTCCTTAATGACACGGAACCCTCGCTGGGAAGGCTGTGGTCTTGCCCATTGAGCCCCATTGCGTTTTCATGTCCTGGGGCCATATCTCTCCCTCTCCCCTCCCCATATATAGTATCTTATCCAGTATCTTCTGGATAAGATACTATATTTTCTTTAATTGATTTTTTACAGAGAGTAAGGGAGAGGGATAGAGAGCTAGAAATATTGATGAGAGAGAAACATAGACCAGCTGCCTCCTGCACACCCCTACCGGGGATGTGCCCGCAACCAAGGTACATGCCCTTGACCGGAATCAAACCTGGGACCCTTCAGTCCGCAGGCTGACGCTCTATCCACTGAGCCAAACCGGTTTTGGCTGGATGAGAGACTTCTTTGTCCTATGTCCTCAACTCATGCTTAGGGATCTGGAGAGAGAAGCTAGGAAGTGGATGCAAGATTCAGGGATCAGGGAGAGGGCCTTCATCCCGTAGAAGCCCACAGATGCAGGGCACAGCCCACAGTCGGCCACGGAATAGGCCTACAATCTTTGAGTCAGTATGGTTGAGCCGAGTGCAGGCGGAAGGACCCGCCTGACCATCAGCAGCCTGAGCAGGAGAGGGAACCACTGCGCTGAGTCAGGCGGCCGCCCCACTGAGCAGCCTTGCGGGCCTCTCCGTGTATCCATGGTAACCCCCTTGTTTCTCTCTGTCCCCAGTGGAAGGACTGAAAGTGGTGGAGATTGAGAAATGCAAGAGTGACATCAAAAAGATGAGGGAGGAACTGGCAGCCAGAAGCAACAGGTAAGGCCTGCGCCAGGCAGGTTCTGGGTGAGCCGCAGGTGGGGTGCTCTGGATGGATGAAGGCGGGGAGCCTCAGCTGGGGCGCTGGGGCCAGTGCTGGGCTGGACGTTGGAGGCAGCGCTTTCTCCAAAAAAAAGAGCACTCCTGGCAGGGAGGCTGGAGGCTGAACGCGCATCCAGGGGCTTCGGTCGCCAGATCAGTGTCAGGGTTAACCCCCCCAGATGGAAAGACGTGACTCCCGTGTTTTAAGACCAGCAACAAATAGAAAGGAAAGACTCTTGGCTTACAGGGGACCAGCGTCCTGGGGCCCCAACGTCCCGCGCCCGGGCAGACGTCCCATAGGGCCAAGCGATGGCTGAGGGAGACAGGCCCCCAGCTGTCCTGGACTCAGAGTCCCATGTCCCGCCGAGCGAAGGGTCCATCCCCACGTGCCCCTGTGCAGCCCAAATTTGTGAAGAAAGACTCAGTCTTCATTACACCCCCTCGAAAGTGGGTTTTACGTACAGCAGGACCCTACCCTCCGGAGCCGTAGTCACAGCAGATGCTCCCGTTTTGGGCATTGGGCGCCTACTGGGTGGGCAAGAGGGCGGTAGCCCAGTGTGGTGCTATCTGGCACAGCTGCCCCCTGCCCAGGGCCAGGGGAGCAGGTCACCTTGGGAGGGGTGTCTTGAGCTGGAAGGGTGCCCCCTTGGGTTCCTTCCTGCCACGTCCCAGGCACCCTCGTCCCTCCCCTTCCCGCCCCTCGGCGGGACAGGAAGGGCGTGCCGCTCACGGTGGGCTTCCTGGCGTGCGCGGTCCTGCAGGTCAGATTGCAAGAGAAAGAACAAGATGTGGTCCAGGTTGTATGCGTCTCCTGTGGCTGCTAAAACAAAATGCCACAAACAGGATGGCTTCAAACAATAGGAATGTGTCCTGTCATAGTTCCAGAGGTCTGAAATCACAGTGTCCGTACGGCCAGGCTCCCCTGAAGGCCCTGTCCCAGGCCTCTCTGGCCCTGGGTGCCGGCAATCCTTGGGGTTCCCCGGACTGTAGTGACATTACTCCCATCTCTGTCCTCCCATGGTAGCCCCCTCATGTGTATATTTGAGTCCAAATGTCCCCTTTTAAAATGTCGCAGTCCTGTTGAGTTAGAGCCCACCTGTTCCGTTGGCCGTGTTAGCTGAGCATGTCGATCACCACCCTGTTTCCAAATGAAGGCACTCACAGGTCCCGGGCTGGGACGTTAACATGTGACCTTCGGGAGCTACAACTCAACCCACAACACACCACGGAGGGAAAATACACCTGGTGTCAGAGCCCGTGAGAGGAGGCCAGCCTGGGCCCAGAGGCAAGATGGCAGGGTGGGCTGAGCCAGGTGTGGCGGGCGCCGGGGCTCCCCCCAGTAATGCACTGCCCCCCCAGGGAGCACATTCTAGAACTCAAAGCTCCATCCCCCAAAGAGCAGCCCCCACAAAGGCGAGAGGCAGGAGGGGGTAAAAATGGATCTTTACAGCAAAGACAGAGTGGGGGTGGGGGTCTCAAATGTCACCAACACACTCAGAACAAAGAGGCCAGTGTCCTGGGCTCAGGTTGAATCCCTGCATCATCTCCCCCCCGGCCACCCCTGCCAACCCCACCTCCCCAGGCGCTCACAGCCCCTTCTGTGCCAGAGAACAAGCCGATGTTTGCGCTCTCTCTGTCTCGGGTTCCGTTTTTACCATGCCAGGTGTCATTTCGGCGTCCCTGGGACCCGGCTTACGTGGGACTCCCCTGCGGTGCTGGGGGCGAGACTGGCCCTCTGATAGCTCTTCTCGTGATGCCAGCCCGGCCCTGCCTCCCTGGGAGGGCGGAGCGGACAAGGGCACCTGCCAGGCAGGCCCCACTCTGTCCCCGAGAACCAAAGGCTAATGAGCCTAAATGCCGGCCCAAGTCCACCCACCCAGCACCCCTCCCAGGGCCGCGGGGCCAGGTCTGCGCGCACCAGACCCCCTTTGCCTCTCGGGGAGCAGCAGGGAGCAGCCAGGGAGCAGGCAGGCTCACAGAGGCCCCCAGGATAGGCTGCCCTCCCCAGAGACACACACCTCGGGGGTTTCTCTTTTTCTCCCTCAGGAGGGAAGAGGTCCAGCTGCCCGCTGGAATGTAGGCCACAGGGTGGAGCTTGCTGGTTGACTCCTCAGGGCCGGGGAGGGCTGCAGGCACATGAGTGGCATCTGAGGGCTCCGGGGTCTGTAATCTCAACTCCCGTCTCCAACAAATGGCCTCGGCCAACGGTCTGAGCCCCAGGGGAGCGGAGGCTGAGAGCCCAGGAAATGAGAGGAAAAACACGCTCCAAATAGAATGAAAAGGCAAGGCACCGTGCCAGCTGCTCTATCAGCTGGAGGATGCTGGTTCCCATGGCAACCGGGTGCAGAGGGAGCAGGCTGGGCCGCCTGGCGAGGTGGAGAGGCCCTGGCACAAGCTGCCAGGCACCCAGCAGGCTCTCCCAAGGCTGGCATTGTCCAGGAAGCAGCTGGAGTCCAGCCGGCCGGCCCTCCTGCCACAGCCCTCCTGGCACATGCACACGACTCACCTACACGGCACGTGCGTGGGTATTTATACAAAAGGGGGGAAGCAGAAAGGAGATCACAGTGGTGTTATCTGTTTTCTTTGGGTTTTTTTTCTTCTCCTTTTTTTTAAAATATATTTTATTGATTTTTTTACAGAGAGGAAGGGAGAGGGATAGAAAGTTAGAAACATCAATGAGAGAGAAACATTGATCAGCTGCCTCCTGAACACCCTCCACAGCGGATGTGCCCGCAACCAAGGTACATGCCCTTGACCGGAATCGAACCTGGGACCCTTCAGTCCTCAGACCGATGCTCTATCCACTGAGCCAAACCAATTAGGGCTGTTATCTGTTTTTCTCAAGTGCACAGGCCAAGCACAGCACTACTCAGAAGGTACAAACGGCGTGTCTCCTTCGCCGGTGACAGTGGGAAGCAGGGGGTTGGTACCTTTCCTTGGTTCTCTTTGTTATTCTGTTATACCCCTTTACGCAGGAAGCTGTCACCGGCACTCTGGCTGCTTCTATGAGGGGGGTTGAGGGGAGGAATAGCAGCACGCCAAGAAAATAACCCTGAAGGCTCCTCTTCCAGAAAGAAAACAGCTGGGTTACCCTGGGTTTGCGGGCAGCACAGCCTCCTTGTAAGGCCATCAGACTCTCCTGATGTGGGGTGAGCCACCACAGTGACAGCAGCCACAGGCCCCCAATTCAAATGCTGATTTCCCAGAAGTGTTTTTGTTTTGGGTTTTGGTTTTTGTTTTGCTTTTGCATATAAACATCTAGTTTTGAAAAACAACTCAGAAATACTATGCTTCATTTTTTTTCACATACGGCATTGTGAAGGAGAAATAGGTCAGATTTAACCCCCATCCAGAGGCCCGGTGCCGGCTCGCTGTCCACCCACTGTGTGCGTGTTTCCTGGCGCCCGGGAGAATATTTCTGCGCTCCCACTGAGTGCATGCTGCAGGCGACATGTCTCTTTCCCTTTTCACCCACACTCTCCTTATCTCACATCATCTCCTCAATCATCTTAAAGATCACACTGGACCAAACTGGCTTCAATGAGGTCCCAGTTGGGGCCGTTTCGGTCACGTCTCGTTCGGTTCGGTGTTTTTACAACAGATAACGCGACGACGAATACCTTTGTGCACAGAGCTGTTTGCTTGTGTCTAATTCTTCTCCTAAGGTAAATGCCCCAGAGTAGACACTCAAGCTGAAAGGGTGTGAATGTCTTCACGGCAGTAAATGGCTCTCTCAGAAGGTGGAACTTTATTTACAAACTGCTGCTCTGGCACGTTGATATACTGGCGTGGGCATCTCAAACAAAAGGGTGCGGACACCGCACTCCCTCGTGCTCCCCATCAGCGGGAGGATGGAGAGCATGTTCGTGGACAAGAAAGTTAAGATCCCCAGGTGGGGAGGGGGCCACGGAGCGGCCAGATCTCCTGGGGTGGCCCTCCACGTCCAGCCCTCAGGTATGCCCCCACGCACCAGCACCCGCTCCCCGGTATCGGAGTGTGGCTTTCTATTTAGAACACACCTGGCTCCCTTCTTTCTGTTCTTATGGGGGCCACCTTGATACCGAATAATGACGGTGGCAGATTCCTCTGTCAGCACGTATGCGATGGGAAATGGGGGGGGGCCCCTGAAGTCGGTCTCAGGGGCCGGGTTGATAGTGTGCGGTGCGGCCACACCCCCAGGCGCTGGAGATGGGCTTGCTTTTCACAAAGCTGGGCTCTGTGGTGCAGCCCCTGCAGGTTTGTGGTGCGTTAAGCGAAAACAGCTAGCGGCCGAGGAGTATGTTCGCACAATCCCCCCTTTGTCTGCGAGCACGGGGCTGTCCATGTGTGTCCGGGCCCGGGATGTTCTGGAAGACTACCCCACACAGCAGGCGGGATTCCCAGCGTGTTCGGTTTAAGAGGAAAGGCGGGGTGAAGTAGGAACTTCGATTTTTTATTTTTTTTATTTCTGTGCTGGTTGAATTTTCTGGGAGGAACGCGCTCTGCTTCCATCATTTTGAAAAGGTTTTAGGGGCGTCTCTGTAATGAAGGCCCATGTGTCCAAGAGCCCACTGTCACCTGCGGAGGCCCAGCAGGGGCTCTGGGGGTTAGTAATGAGACATCTCTGGCTTTATGACTTATTCTCCCACAACAGATACGACCAAGGAGGTCGTCCGGAGGGATTGCTGTGGGCTTGGCATGGGGTTTGGAGTTTGTTGTTCTCTGAGGAGATCCCCACAGTCCCCTGCTCACGCGGACACCCAGACGGAAGCAGCGATGCTGGAACTAACCTTTGCTTCCCCCTTAGGACCAGCTGTCCCTGTAAGTACAGTTTTTTGGATAACAACAAGAAGTTGACACCTCAGCGCGATGTCCCCACATACCCCAAGGTAAGATGAAATTCTGCCTCTGAGGAAACAACATCTGTGTCCACATACCTGGGGCACAGGCCCCGCCCACCCCCCACCTCGGCCACCCTGGCCTCCTGGCCACCCAATGTCTGCACCTTTTTTTAAATATATTTTATTCACTTTCCACAGAGAGGAAGAGAAAGGGATATAGCGTTAGAAACATCGATGAGAGAGAAACATCGATCAGCTGCCTCCTGCACACCCCCCACTGGGGATGTGCCCACAACCAAGGTCCATGCCCTTGACTGGAATTGAACCAGGGACCCTTCAGTCCGCAGGCCGACGCTCTATCCACTGAGCCAAACTGGTTTTGGCCCAATGTCTGCATATTTGCAGAAACAGTTCCTGCTGCTTCCATGGGCTGCAGGACGCTCCTGTTATTCTTAAGCAGAATAGTTTTCTCTTTGACATTTGTTTAGCAAAAGTGGTCCCAGGCCATAGCTTACTGTGGCAGGAGGTAAGGGCTAAATTTTTAAGTAAATTTTTTGAAATCTGCTTTCTGGGATCTTCTGTCCCTGAACAATAGGCTGTTATTATGAGAACTTTTGATTTTCAGCCACCAAAGATTTCTCAGTTACAAGAGAGCCTGGACCCTTGTGAAAGCAGTAGGGCCCTGGGGGTTGGGGAGTGGGGTCTCAGGATGGTGGTCACCCACCTCAGCAGAGCCCTCAGCTGATGAGTGAACGATCCCCCGCCCAACTGACCTTCAGCACTCTCTTGAGCTGACGTTCCCGCTTGCTCGCAGGGGCCAGAGTCCTGCAGGTCATCTGTGGCTTGTTTGTTTTTGTTTTTTAATATGTTTTGATTGATTTCAGAGAGAGGAAGGGAAAAGGAGAGAGATAGAAACGCCAATAATGAGAAAGGATCATGGATCGGCTGCCTCCTGCACGCCCCCTACTGGTGGTGGAGCCCAGAACCCAGGCATTTGCCCTGACCAGGAATCAAACCGTGACCTCCTGGTTCTTGGGTTGACTGACGCTCAACCCCAGAGCCACACCAACCAGGCTTGTCCAGGGTTTTCAGGTGGACACTGGTGTCTCTTCTGTGGGAAAATGTGACCCAAATCTCTCATGTTCTGGCCCCAGGGAGTCACGAGGCCCAGCCTAGGTCCAAAGTAAAGGGTCTCCGCTGCCGTTCCTTAAAAAAATAAACCGAAACCCCATGACCCCTGGTGAACATGATATCTAATCCCAAAACACCATGACTGGCTTAGATCTAAAATCCCATTTACTATTCCCTGTGACAGTTTAACTCTAACTGGTGTCCTGTAGGCCCTCAGCCCACAGCCAAACCCGAGGGGCTCCCCCAAAGTGGAAACGCACACTAGCTTCTGAGCCAGTATTTGGACTTACGCCAAGCAATTTTCCCCTCGGCTTCACTTTACTGGTGTTTTTTTTTTTCAAGTTGATTGAGATGTTACTTACATGCAGTGAGTCATCCTCCGTGGTGCATTGTATGGTGAAGTTTGACAAACTCCTGCAGTCACGGAACACCCACCACAGTCAAGGGATGGGGCGTCTCCGTCACCCCAGAATGGTCCCTCGCGCCCATGTGGTCCTGCCCGGCGCTCTGGCCCTGCCCCGGGATGGGATTCCTGTCCCTAGAGTTTGCTTTCAGAATTCTTGCAGAATGTAGCCTGCAGGCTGGTACCCGGGTGTCCTTGAGGGGACAGAGGAAACGGCCTTGGCTCAGCACAGAGGCTAACCCTCCTGTCCCCTCCAGTACCTGCTCTCCCCGGAGACCATCGAGGGCCTGCGCAAGCCGACCTTCGACGTCTGGCTCTGGGAGCCCAACGAGGTGAGCGAGCGAGCCTCCGGGACCAGGGGCGCGGGGACCGACAGAAGCATCCCTGTCACTCTCCCCCTTTCTCCTCTCTTCTTTATGTTGCTTTTTTCACTTGATTCTCCCACATTTTAGTCAAACTGACTCTTGGTTGGCTCAGGGGGTCTTGGAGACAGAATTCAGGAAGGGGGTGTCAGACAGAGGAGCGGGCGGTCAGGTGCAGGGGGCTCGAACCGTGGGGTGCTGACGGTGTCCGGGCTGCAGCCTTTGGTCCAGAGGGCCTGCCATGCCGGGGCAGGCACTGGGCAGCCGGGGAGGGGACAGAGGCAGGGCACAGGTGTGTGGCCCTGGGCAGAGGGCTGCTCCCGGTGTCAGCTCTGCACCCCAAGGTGACATCTTCATTGTCCCTGCTTTGCAGATCTGTCTCCCTGGGCTTCCCATCCAAGGCCTGCGTTCCCAGAAGGCAAGGCCCACTTTGTCAAATGTTCACTTATTGAAAATAATTTAATCTGTCTTCCCTCGCTTAATTAGCTCCAGAGCTCTGAGCGATATTTAAATAGACGATAACAGTGACAGTAAATCCTCTTTGGGACCGAAAACAAAATCTATTTCCATGTGAGCGGCGGGTTTTTCTCTTTTTAGAACAGTCAGTGAAGAAGGGTTGTGGGGGGGTGGGGGGGACTTACCCAGAATGCACTCACCTCCTGGACTAAATGTAACACATTAAAAAGCAGCTGCAGGGCCTCGGGGGGCACAAGGAGGGTGTTGGGGGTGGAAGGCTCTGGGCCCCTTTACCCTCTGGCTCAGGCCCGAGGCGAGTGAAGGCCTTTCTCCGTGGGGCTCGGCTCTCAGGTCTGAGTTCGATGGAGCTGAGTCCCAGAGCATCAAACAGCGAGGTTGACCCCCGGAGGTTGTCTGTGAGCGGAAATAAATGAGGTCATTTCCGATGTGGTCCATTGGGCACAGTACACACCCTCTCATCCAGCCGCTTGCTGTTCCTTCTTGTCTAGAATTCCCTTGACTTCTGAACACCGACTGCTCTTTCAAACCCCATCCTTTCAGCGGGATCCTGGACCCCCAGGCAACAGGCTTCATTCTCTGGGAACCCGGCCAGGGAGGGCTCCCCTGGGGCCGGGCCAGGAGAAGCTGCCCGCATGCTGCTGATCACCCTGTGCTCTTCCTGTGCCCGCAGATGCTGAGCTGCTTGGAGCACATGTACCATGACCTCTGCCTGGTCCGAGACTTCAGCATCAACCCCATCACACTCAAGAGGTGGCTAGTAAGTGCAGCCCCTCCGGTCCCTCTGGAACAGTTAGATCCAGTTATATGGGGGTGACCATCTGGGCTTCCTCCTGATGGCCCGGGCGTTCATGAGAGTTCTGCCAGGACACTCAGCCGGTCTGTGTCCCCTCCACACACTCCGCCCCCGCTCCTGCTCCAGGAAATGAGAACGGTGAGGACAGGGCGGACAAGCGCAGCAGTGTGTCCTAAAGCAGGGGCCTGTGTGTGTGTGTGTGTGTGTGTGTGTTATGAGTGTCTGAGTGTGTGAAGGTGTCTGAGTGTGTGCATGTTTGTGAGGAAAGTAGACATGAGTATGTATTAATACATGTGCAAGTGTGTGCATGAGTGTGTGAGCATGAGTGTCTGTTGGTGGGTGGGCCATGTGAGTGAGCATGAGTGTGTTCATGTGTGAATATGTGTCAGTGTGTGTGTGTGTGTGAATGTGCTTGTGTAAGCATTGTGTGTGCACATGCATGTGTGTTTGTGTGAGTGTGCATGTGTGAGTGTGTGTGCATGTAGGTATATGTGTATGTGAGTATGTCTGTGAGGGTGTGCCTATGTAAATGTGATGTGTGTGCATTTGTACATGTGTGGGTGGGTGTGAGTAGTATGTGTGTGAATGTGTGTGTGAATGTGCATGTATGAGTGTATGTGTGAATGTGCATGCGTTGAATAGCATGTGTTTGTTTTTTAAAATAAAATACTGCTCAGAACCAAATATTAAAGGCCTTCAAAGGTCAGACAGTCAGTGGGACCCAGGTAGTCCCCCGGCTCGCCCCTCAGCTCCATGTCCCAGTGTGGGTCTGTCCCCACACCTGCCCTCCGGCCACCCGTCCTTACTTATAGTCACAGGAACACTGTGGCCTCGGGGTCAGGCGAGGGCTGGGCAGGGAGCATCTGGGACAGCCGGCGAGGGAGCTGGAGCGGGCGGCGGGCACAGGCGCGGGCAGTCAGACCCTCGTCTCCCGCAGCTCTGCGTGCACGACAACTACAGGAACAACCCTTTCCACAACTTCCGGCACTGCTTCTGCGTGGCCCAGATGATGTACAGCATGATCTGGCTCTGCGGGCTCCAGGTGGGTCTGGGGGAGCCCCTCCAGGGGAGGCAGGGACGCCCCCCACCCAGAGGGGACAGCTTCGGGGCTCTGCAGCAGCTCCTCCACCCCCAGGAGCCCACCCAGCCCATCAGTGTCCTGAGCGAGGCACTGATTCACTGAGCAGGTGGGCCCTCCTCAGCCCCCCCTCAGAGAGGGCGGGTCCTCTCCCACCGGGCCCGCGGCTGGAGGGGCTTCACCCTGCCCTGGTCACTGTTTCCCACCCCACTCCCCCCGCTCCTCACCCATCCCCCCTCTCTCACCCAGGAGAAGTTTTCCCAAATGGATATCTTGATCCTCATGACCGCAGCCATCTGCCACGATTTGGACCATCCGGGATACAACAACACGTGCGTGACTTTGCATTTTAAAGGGCACTCGGGTCAGCTCAGTACTCAGACCGGTCCCAAATCAGAACTGTCCGCCGAGGCCTCCGACCCCCCAGCACCACCTTCAGCGGACACAGCTCCCCGCTTTGGAACTTTGTCCGAGGCCTTGAGCCTCCCTGGGGCAGACCCTGCAAGGTTACCAAACCCCAGGAGGCTGCCACCCCCTCTGTGGTCCTGGCTGCAGGCTGAGTCTCTGTCAGGCCTGGGGCCCTGGCGGTGCCTGAGGCAGGGCCCGATGCCCACACACGGACAAAGATCTCACTCTAGGTCTCACTCCCCCTGCAGCAGCCTCCCCATCCTGCTCCAAGCAGGGACCGTGCCAGGGCTGGGACTGAGCGAGAGGAGGGTGGGTGAGCGGGGAGGGAAGGGGTCCACAGTGGGCCATGGGGGCTGTGCTGGAACATTGGTTCGTTCCCGCCTCTTGGAGGCGAAGGCAGAGTCCCACCCACCTGACGCCACAGTCCCGACCACGTGGCATCGGCTTGTATTTACAAGGACACGTGGCTTCTTTCTATCAAACGTGTGTATCTGTATATCGAGTTTTACTGTGCACACAATGAGCTCAACTGTGCCCTAAAATCTTGCTGCCGTGTGCAGGACCATGGATTCTAAGGCGTGGGAGCCCGTGGGCACCCACTCCCTCGGTGCCCACTCCCTCGGTGCCCACTCTCGGGGCCTGGACCACAGCATCCAAATCTTCTCCCAAAGGCCTGCCTTTTGCACATACTGGAATGTTTTACAAAGGTGCCATACCAAAGGCCCGGTCGCCTTGAGGGCACCATAACAGAGCAGTGGAGATTTCTGGGTGCTGTTTACCTGGTAGGACTATAAACACTTGGGATCCTCTCATTCAAGGGGCAGCAGAGAGTCGGGGAGCCGGGGGAAGTGAGTTCCTGGCACGGGCAGAGGGCAGCCGCCTTCTCCAGCGCCTTCACAGCTGTTTCGCAGCCCCACGGGCACCACTGCGCACCGCAGCGCGTTGCCCTGACATCCAGGCGCCTCCAAGGCGGGCTCCTGAGGCTCCTGTCCCCTCTCCCCCTCACCCCCCAATTCCAGGTACCAGATCAACGCCCGCACCGAGCTGGCCGTGCGCTACAACGACATCTCGCCCCTGGAGAACCACCACTGCGCCGTGGCCTTCCAGATCCTCGCCCAGCCCGAGTGCAACATCTTCTCCAACGTGCAGCCCGACGGGTTCAAGCAGATCAGACAGGTGTGCGGGGTGGGCGCTCTGACTGCAGAGTGAGGGGGTCTTTGGGGGAGACAGTGAGCATGATCACAAGAAAACCCTTTCTCTGGGCTGAGGCTCCCGGAAGCTCCCGGTCACAGCAGCGCCCACAGGGATCCTGGGGAGCGGGCCCCCTTCCCACCGCCTCCAAGGCCACACACACCGAGTGGCCAGATGATGATGATCTCTGAACCTATAATCATCTGGCCACTCAGTGTAGAGCCTATGTAATAAAAGGCTAATATGCAAATTGTCCCCTCAACGAGGAGTTCGACCAGCAGGCAGGCTGGCCAACAGCCCATGTCCCTGACCCCTGGCCAAGCTGGCTGGACCCCACCCAAGTATGAATTCGTGCACTGGGCTTCTAATATATATACACTGAGTGGCCAGATTATTGTGCGTTCAGAGATCATAATAATCTGGCCACTCAGCGTTTTGCCCCAGGAAGAGGTGCATACCCCCGGCATGCATACTTGGGTTCCACTGACGGCTGCTCACACCCACGGTTGAACTTCTCCCTGGAAAGCCGCCCTTTCTCCATTGCCACCAGGGGAGTGAGGCCCACAGACGTTGGGTAAGGTGGCCAGGGAGTACCCTGCAGACCCTGGGCAGACACACTGGCTACAACCAACCTAGTAGGGCCCTGACCACTGTCCCCTAGCCCCCAGCGGCTGTCCCCTGCACCCTGTGGCCCAGTCTGCCCACTGCCACTTCAGCTAAGAGACTTCACCGCTTCTCGGGGCGCTGTGGGAAGAGGTTGAGAGCACCCCTGTCCTGAGGCAGGCACTTCCACTCACCACAAAGGACAGCCCTCGCCCAGGAGGTCCCCCGAGCACGACACTGTGCTCACCCTCTGACGTTGGCAGGGGTGGGAGGATCTCAGGGTGATCTTTTGGAGGAATGTAGTAGCTTGAATGGTAGCCTTGCCCCTGCCAAAAAAACAAAACAAAATGTATGTCTACGTTCCGGCCCTGGGACCTCGTGAAGGTACCCTTCTTTGGAAAAAGGGTCTTCACAGCTGCATTGTTAGGATCTCTAGATGATATTAGCTTGGGCTATCCAAGTGGGCCCTAAATACAATGACAAGGTTCTCTACAAGAGACTGAAGAGAAGACGCAGATACATGGACGACAAGGCCGTGAGATGACAGAGGCAGAGGCTGGAGTGATGTGCACACAAGCCAAGGAATGCTGGGCCACCAGCATCTGGAAGAAGCAGGAGAGACCCTCCCCTGGAGCCTGGGGAGAAGGAGGGCCCTCCGACACCGTGGCTTCGGACTTCTGGACTCCAGAACCCTGAGAGAACTCCTTTGTGGTCCTCTCTGTCCCCCGGTCTATGCGGATGGCAGCCCAGGACACTGCACAGGAGCCAAGGTCCGTGTCTGGAGGAGCCATGCCCAGATAGTCCATAGATGAAACCGCACCCATCTGATGTCTTGGTGGCCTTCCCTGAAGCTGCGCCTGATAAAGGGTCTAGAATCCAGAGCTGGAAACCCTCCCTCCCGCCCTCCGGAGGCCGATAAGCTTCACTCTGTCAGAAAACAGCTTCATAAGCCACCGTTTCCCCACTGACCCCACTTCCAGGAAGTTCAGAGCTAAATGCAGTGCTTAATCACTGTCATCATTTCTGAATCACCATTCCCGGCGCATTCCCTCCTCAAGCCCAGGCTTCTGGTTCCATAAACATGGAACCACCGGGCAAGTAAGTGCCACCTAGGGAACCTTTCTCCAAAGCAGGAAAAGGGCAAATCCTGGAGACAGCACTGCAATTGGCTGCTGCCCCTGACAGCTGCCCAGCGACCTGGAATACATACAACTGGAGAATCCGAGCTCCTGAACACTCCTCTGTGAGAGACCCAGCAGCTCCCGGGAGGAAGCGCCTGGCTGGAGGAGCGGCTAACCCCACAGCCCAGGTCTTCCTCTTGTCCGCCATGGGGACACACAAGTCATCCTGCCTCAAACATTTCATGTTCAAACGAGCCTTTTTCTGAGAATAAAACCAGCTGTCCCAATTTTTTTTAATATTTTTATTGATTTCAGAGAAGAAGGGAATTGGAGAGAATGATGAAAACATCAATGATGAGAGAGAATCATTGATCAGCTGCCTCCTGCACGCCCCCTTCTGGGGATCAAGCCCAAAGCCCCGGCACATGTCCTAACTGGGAATCAAACAGTGACCTCCTGATTCTTAGGTGGACACTCAACTGCTGAGCCATGCCAACCAGGCAGTTGTCCCAATTTTTAATAACATTTTGTCATTGAATAGTTTGAGAGCTAACTCCTCACGGACATAGGTCCTTCCCTGCTACACAATTAAATCTGCCCAGGGAAATGCCACCATTCAGAAAGTCAACCGTGCTCCCCTCCTCCTCCAAAACATATCCAAGATGATCTGTATTGGATAACTTGAGCTCTGCAGTTGATGAGTATGGTGTGTGTTTTTTTTGTTTTTTGTTTTTTAAGTAGAATACCATACTTGGCACAGCGGTGTGTTTGTAAAAGCTTGTGGGTAGGTGGATGGATATACAGACCAACGGACAGACAGATGGACAAGTTAGATGGACAAATTGATGGGTGAATGAGTGGATTGTGTTGGATGGATGGATGGATGGATGGTCAGATGGTCATGGTTTTGAATTATGTTACTATTAAGCCAATTCGTTCATGAAAGAATGCCATTGTACATAATCAGACTTTGATCATTCCCAAGTAATAGGTATACATGTCATCACATACAGATTAGATAACAGGGGGGGAATGCCCCTGGGAAATTGGTCATTGACCTCCAACAAGATCTGGAAGGCACACACCACGGGTCTGGATTACTAAACCCCGGGGAAGCCTTTGTCCATAGCTAAGCTGCCATCCACGAGGGCACCGTCCTGGGAGATGTGGTATGGCTGCTGCTGCTTCACAGACACAGCGAGGGAGGAGGCGTCAGGCTCCACCTGGGCCTGAACCCCAGGCTCCCACCCTCCCCTGCAGCCTGGGCAGGGCCCTCAGCCTCGTCAAGTGTCAGCTTCTGTTTCTAAAAATGAGGACAGCGCCCTCCCTACCAGAGGTCAGCAAACTCATTAGTCAACGGAGCCAAATATCAACAGTACAACAATTGAAATTTCTTTTGAGAGCCAAATTTTTTAAACTTAAACTATATAGGTAGGTACATTGTAATTAACTTAATTAGGGTACTCCTAACCTGGCTTTTGCTAAAAACTCAAGGGGCCAAAGAGCCGCATGTCGCTCTCGAGCCACAGTTTGCTGACCACTGCCCTAGCTGGTTTGGCTCAGTGGATAGAGCATAGGCCTGTGGACCAAAGGGTCCAGGGTTTGATTCAGGTCAAGGGCATGTACCATGGTTGCAGGTTCCCAGGCCCTGGTGGAGCTCATGCAGGAAGCAACCAATGTGTTTCTCTCACATCGATGTTCCTCTCTGCCTTCCCCTCTCTCCTCCACTCTCTCTAAAATCCAGTAGGAAAATAGCCTCAGGTGAGGATTAACAAAAATAATAATAACAATAATAAATAAAAATAAAAATGAGGGCAATGATTCCCAGACACACACGAGGCTGGCACGCGGACTGCACGGCCCAGCGTGTGCAGAGGGCTGAGCACACAGCCGGCGCTCACTGAGGAATCCTTGGGATTTGCCCGGCGTTCATGCTTTGCTCTTTCGCTCCTCAGGGCATGATCACGTTAATCTTGGCCACCGACATGGCCCGGCACGCAGAGATCATGGAGTCCTTCAAAGAGAAGATGGAGAACTTCGACTACAGCAACGAGGAGCACATGACCCTGGTGAGCAGGCTCTGGGGGTCGGGAAGCGGGTGAGGGAGTCCTTCCTCCAGCTCAGACCCGAAACCGAGAAACCACAGCTCCTCCTTCCCTCGGAGGGAGGTGGCGGTAAAACTGGATTTCAGAGTTCCCGTCTCACCAGGAAGGCCGCCTGGTGGGAACCGCCCCCGGGAACGCTCCGTCGTGGCTGCGGGCACGTTTTCCACGCTGCCTCTCATTCTGGTGGGAAGATAGTGAGTGGGTGGAGGCGATTCAGCTTGGTCTGGTTTCCTGAGAATAAAGTTGGCTCTTCCACAGAGGACAGCCCCGGAAAGCATGCTGAACCCAGCCTTTCCGAGGGCCATGTGGGGACCCAGTGGCATAGGCCTGAGGCCTTGAATCAGCTCCCCCCAGGACGGCTGTGTCCAGGCTGGCCCCAACCTGGTGTCAGGGGCAGCGTGTGTGTGTGTGTGTGTGTGTGTGTGTGTGTGTGTGTGTGTGTCCCCTCCCAGGCCTGCAGCCCAACTCCTCACGCAGGAGTGGAGAAAGGCCTGGATCGGTTCCCAGGAAGCCATGGGGCAGACAACGAGGGAAGGACTGAAGGGCAGCGCTCACCTCGAGGTTCAGCGAAGCTGTGCCAAGTCAGGTTTCCCCAGGTCCCCCTCCTGGGAGAGCAGCCCCGGCAGATGCGGGGCCCCCAGCCTGGGCAGCAGCCAACGCTGACCTCAAACACTGGCCATTCCAGGGGACTGTCCCTGGGCCTGGAGCAGGTCATCTGTCCTGCAGCCGGTCCCAGCGGAACTCACTCACGTGGTACAAGGAAGGCGCTCTGGCTGGGTCCTCTGGCCTGGTGCATCTCCATCCGAGGGGCCACATGCATGCCCAGACCTCACCAGGCCGAGGGAGCTGGTCTCCTGGGAGGACCAGAAGGGCACCCAGCTAGGGAACAGCACCAACAAGATGTGGCGGACACAGGGCTGTGCTGTGGGGGCGGAAATTGGGGGCTGGGCGGCCAGGACGGCTGGAGAGAGCGGCCAGGGCAGGTCCGGGGAGGACGCAGGGGGAGAGAAGGCGTCTGCAGGTGGTGGCTTTAGCCGGGTTCAGAGGCCAGCTCAGGGAGATGTCAGGCCTGGGAGCAGAGGACACAAGCCAGTGACACCTCTGATATGTGCGCCATTTTGCTAATCCTGGGCTGCAGGGGACAGAGGGAATCAGGGGTTGCCCGTCCTGTTCAGGGATTGCGGCGCCAAGGCTGTGCTCTCGCTGCTTTTACATTGAGGGTCCCCTTCACCCTGTATTTCTGATGTGCCACTTTGTCACTGGGTGGGGATGGAGGTGGGGGGATCCCAGCGCTATCCACTCCTATTATTCTTTTTTTTTTTAATTGATTTTTTTATAAAGAGGAAGAGAGAGGGATAGAGTCAGAAACATCGATGAGAGAGAATCATCGATCAGCTATCTCTTGCACACCCCCTACTGGGGATGTGCCCACAACCAAGGTATATGCCCTTGACCGGAATCGAACCCAGGACCTTTCAGTCCGCAGGCTCCTATTACCCTTTTAACCTCTGATTCCTCATGTCACGTGAGAAAGAGTCTGGAAGCTTTGGCCAGAAATAAATGACCAAGATTTATTCAAGGATCTTGGGATTTGCCAGCCAGAAACACAGCTGGGCCAAAACCCAGAACTGTCCCGGAGAAGAAAGGAAAGCTAAGAGGAGTGATAGCAAAACGTGCACCCTGAAGAAGGACCGGGCTGCATTCTGGCCCTCGGATTGCTCCGGGATGGTCCGGAGGACGGACGCCAGGAGGTCTGGTCACGTTCAGAGGCCTGGTGACGAGAATATTCTTTTCTCAGTCCTTCTGAGGTAATCCATCAGAGGATTACCTGGAGGTCTGCTGTGTATCCAGGCATTGACACCTGGCTGGAGCATTCAAGTGCAAGCTCCCAGCTGCTTAGAATAAGAATAGAATTGTCTCCTCCTGCCTCAGGCAACGTGATTTTAATAATTTAGCCGCTTGACTGAAGTGGCTCCATTACTCATCACTAATGATGCCTCTTACACTTCTTCCTGAATCTTCAATAACCGAGAACTTTTCCAAGTATATTCCTGTGACAGAAGGTCCTCGCGTTAAATGGGCTGTTCTACCACTCATGGTCCCGCGAAGAAAACATTCTGAGCCCTAGCTGGTTTGGCTCAGTGGACAGAGCATCAACTTGCAGACGAAGAGTCCCAGGTTCAATTCCGGTCCAGGGCATGTACCTCAGTTGCAGGCCACTTCCCTGGTCAGGGCACATGCAAGAGGCAACCAATCGATGTGTTTCTCTCACCTCGACGTTTGCTCTGCCTTCCCCTCTCTCTCCCACTTTCTCTAAAAATCAGTGGAAAAACATCCTCTTAAAAAAAAAGAAAGAAAATTCTGATCCTATGGGGGTGCAGTGACGCCCCATTCTCCCCCATTGAGGCTGAGGGTTTAGGGGCAGCAATGCCCGCCATGCCTGGGCGGCAGGTCCAGCCCACACAGCGTGGGCTCCGGTCTGCGCGCCGCGGCCTGACCCCACGCCTCTCCTTGCAGCTGAAGATGATTCTGATAAAATGCTGTGATATCTCCAACGAGGTGCGTCCGATGGAGGTGGCAGAGCCGTGGGTGGACTGCTTATTGGAAGAATACTTCATGCAGGTAAGAGTGTGTGATGGGACTAGTGCACGCACAGCCGTCAGGCCTCCTGGCCTCGGCTTGGCCCCTGGCGCGCGGCCCAGTGTGAGTGGTGGCAGATGGGTCACCGTGGGCACAGGCGGGTCGGCAGAAGCTCCTCCGGCCCCCAGAGAGCCCGCCCCGTGGGCACACAGCACGAGAGACAGAGAGACAGGGCAGCCTGGGAAAGCGAATGCTGTGAAACTGCCACCTGTCACCGCTCAGCGAGCCGCTGGGAGGGGCAGGCGTGTCAGACTTCGGCCTGGAGATCAAGAACTGCAGAGACAGGAAGGGCCCCCGGGGCGGCTGGGGAAGCGCTGATGAACCTGGGGCGAGGGGTGGTGTCTACAAGCTACTTCTACCACTGCGCGTCCTTGTGACCCACTTAACTAGCCTCTGCCTGTCCCCTCCCCTCCGTCCTCAAGGCAGGGCCTTGCATACCCTACGTAGCACTCACAACAGCATCGTCTTTTCCAATAACTGGTCATTGCTATCGCTGGCTTACATAACGCACCGGGGTTGGGCTGGCTGTGGCATATTAGCTCGTATTTCTCTTCCTCGGAGAACAGGGATCCCCAGAGCCCCCACGTCCCCTGCGTGTTCCTTTACTGTTGCGTCTGCCGCCCTCCCCAGAGCGACCGCGAGAAGTCGGAAGGCCTTCCCGTGGCGCCTTTCATGGACCGGGACAAAGTGACCAAAGCCACGGCCCAAATTGGCTTCATCAAGTTCGTCCTGATCCCCATGTTCGAAACAGTGACCAAGGTGAGTGACCGTCGCCACGCCCTGGGCAACACGACGGACAGGGAGAAGCACAGGAGCGCACAGCCATGCACACACACACACACACACACACACACACACTGTGCACACACACTCACACGCTTGCCCACACGCTCACACACACACACACACACGCGTGCATGTCAACGGTAGCTGCCTGCCGGACACCCCACCTGAAGTGCCCCTCCACCCTAGCACCAACCAGCCCAAAACTCTCCCTCCCACCTCCCATCTGCCCCCTGCTCCTCCTACAGCACACCCACAGAGCCTCCTGGCTTCCCCTCCCTGCTCATCCCCATGTCATCAGAGCTTCCCCAACCACCTCCTCTGAGTGGCCCTCCACTCCCGGGCTCCAGAGAGGAGCCAGTGTCCACTCCTCTCACCTTCACCTTCGGGAGAACCTCCTGAGCGGTCCCCACCTCCATCTCACCACTCCTCCCAGCGCACGGCTGTCACCTTGTTAACCTTCAAGAAGGAGACCGTCTCTACCTCTCTCCTGAACCTTCCATGGCTCCCCACTGCCCCACACAGGCCCATGGCCCCCCGTCCTCCGTAGTGCCTCTGTCTGGCAGGATGGCCCGCAGCTCCCGGTCCTGGCCTTGCTTCCGGCCTTTACCTCCAAGTGCATCCTCCTTCCCCGGGGCTCCCAGCTGCCCACTCTGCTCCCTCCAGCCTCCTGGACCAGCTCAGCGCGTCCTTCCTTAAGCCCCGGGCACTCTTGCCTCCCTGGGAGCTGCCTCCTTGCACGCAGTGTCCTCTCCACACACTGTGCCTTCCCGGTGGGCAAGCAGAGCAGCCTGGATGGAGGAGAGCTGTGTGCACAGGGCTCTGGGGGGGAGGGCACCCTGTGCTGAGCCTCAGGGAATGTCCAATAGGTGGACAGACTGGAGGACAAGCCGCTCAGGCTGGGGGACAGGTGTGAGCGGAGTCCCTCCAGGCTCTGGTGCCGTCGGGGGCCTCGTGGGCGAAGTTGGCTTTGGAAGATGAGGAAGTGCAGTGTGGACAGTTGGGGGGGGGGGCAGCAGAGGGACACAGGAAGGGAGGGAGGGAGCTTCTACCAGGCCCCTGTGGAAAGCAGGAGGCAGCAGGGACCATGGAACTAGATGGGCAGGTGGCAGGCAGGAGGGGCTCCAGGAACCACAGACTGAACAGTGCCAGAGCCTCGGTCACCATGGACCAGGCCGCACTCCGGGGGCTCGGTCAGCGCCCCGTGGACGGATGCAGATTCCCCGCGCACCCGCTGAGACACAGGACCTCCCCAAACGCGCTCCGCCGCCCCGGTGGCGGGCGGCTGACCGGGTCTGTCTCCCGGCAGCTCTTCCCTGCGGTGGAGGAGAGCATGCTGCAGCCGCTGTGGGAGTCCAGGGACCGCTACGAGGAGCTGAAGCAGATGGACGACGCCGGGACGGAGGTAGGGCCTCCGCGGGGCAGCGGGTGGCGCGGGCCCCGTCGCGTGCTGGCACCACGGGGCGGCCCCTCTGGACGGGCGCTCGTGCCCACCCAAAGGAGAGACAGGCCGACCGCATCAGGGCATCTAACGGGGTTGGACGTCACATGACAGTGCTGGCCGCTGTGAGGTGACGAGGGTCAGCGTCCACAGCATCTCCCTCCCCGAGCAGCGCCCGCTCACATCCTCCCTCTCCTCCCGCCCCTGCTGACCTTCTGCCTCTCACTGAGAGAGGCTCCCCTGGCCTGGGTAAAGCTGCCACCATCATGTCCGGGCCCCAGGCCACAGACTCTCCGGGGGCAGCTCGGTCCCTCCCAGGGGCCAGGGAGACAGACTGGGCCTGGCTTCAGGGTGCTTTGTGGGTTATCGGGGTTATCACAGGCTCAGAGCTGGGGTCGAGGTTTTCCCCAAAGCCCCCCAGTTAGTCTGGTCAAGTCAGGACCCCGGAGTGTGTGAATCTCTGTGTCAGGGCCCCCTGCCTGTTAGGACCACCCAATGACCTCTCCCCTGACCTCCAGCCACCCAAGGGCTGGCCTCCCTCGCTCTGGGGGCCCCCCGGGCAGCTGGACCAGTCTCCTCGCTGCTTCCTACATTGGCCCCACGTGGCTGTGGCTGACCTCACTCCGTCCTGGCCTGGCAGTGCCCCCAGCCTGGCTCTGTGCCATGCCTTCTTCACTGTCCGCTTCAGCCCGGGCCTCCCCCATCATGGTGCTTCCGCCTGCCTCTGCCCCTGGGAACTCCCGCCACGCCCTGCCGAGGCTCATCCTGCGTAGCTCTTGGCGCTCTCCACCTCCTTGGTGCAATGCTGGACATATAGTAGGTGCTCAGCCAATGCCTCTGAGCCCACAGACCAGCCGTCTCCGTCTATCCAGTTAGAATCTAGCGGGTCACAGACAGGCGCTGAAACTCCAAAAGCTTCAGGGCCAATGATTTAGAGGACCGATGTAAAAAGACGTGTCCCCCTGCCCAGACCCCCTGCAGGAGAGCTACAGAGCCCTGACTGTCCTGGGCCACCCACACGTCATCTCGGTGAAGGCCTCAAGTCTCCAAGTCCCAGCCCCGGCCGCCCCGTGGGGCCCACTGGGACCCTCCACGGTAAGGTGACCAGACGTCCTGCTTTGGGCGGGACAGCCCCGATTTTTAAGAATTTGTCCCGCGTCCCGCGGTGTTTTAAAAAAAGTCCCAATTTTTTTTAAAGAATCGGGACTTTTTTAAAACGCCGCGGGACAGATGGTTAAAAATCGGGACGTCTGGTCACCTTACTCTACAGCCCCTTCCTGCCCCCAGAAAGAACAGACCAAACGGAGGTGGAGGGAAATGCCCTCCTCAGTCACCCAGCCAGTCCCCAGGCTGTGTGCACGCGGCCGGCGGAAGCTGGCCGTCCAGGCGCCGGGCCGCGGCCGCGCTGGGGGAGGCCTCCGGTAGCAGGGATGGTGGCCCAGGTCCGAGCTGCGTCTTAACAGCTCGTGCGTGTGTGTTTGGCACAAGAAGGTGGCAGACGTTCATCTCAGCTGCGCGTGTTAGCATCTGCCGTCCACAGGATGGCCCTGAGCGGACGAGCAGCCGCCCGCACCGTCCCTGAGCCTGACCTCTCTGTCTCTGTCCTGGTTACAGAGGAAGACGGAGAGCCGGGCAGGAGGGGCAGCCGACACATCAAGGGAGAAAAGCAGAGATGGGAAACCGAGTGAAGGTAATGCTGCTGTGCATGGATGTCCCAGCAGCACCCCCTGGAGCTGGATTGGAATCTGGGGAGGGAGGGAGGACGGGAGAGAGGGAGGAAGAGAAGGAGAGAGGGAAGGAGGGAGGAGGGAGGAAATCTGAATACCAAATATCCTATATAATAAAAGGCTACTATGCTAATTGACCAAAAGACAGAATAACCAGTTGCCATGATGTGCACTGATCACCAGGGGGCAGACGCTCAATGCAGGAGCTGCCTCCTGGTGGTCAGTGCGCTCTCCCAGGGGGAGCACCGCTCAGCCAGAGCCGTGAGCAGTGCTCACAGCTGCTGAGCGCAGTAGGTGGTGGTGGTGGTCGGAGCCTTCTCCACAGTGCTAAGGATATCCAGCTGCTGGCTTAGGCCCCCTTCCCACAACGGACCTACCTCAGCCCTCAGTCTGACATCCCCTGAGGGCTCCAGGACTTTGAGAGGGCACAGGGCAGGCTGAGGGACACCCCTCCCTGCCCCCGCCGCCAGGGCACAATTTTGTGCACTGGGCCTCTAGTTTTCAAATAAGTGTATGCCTTGCTTAGAATAATTGGGATCAGACTCCGAAGGAGCAGGCATGCTTTAGTTGATAGGAAAAGGTCAGTAATTAGCATGAGTGCCACTACTAAGGAAAAACGCTTTTTTCAGTCTTTTCACAAAGAAAGTGTGTGTGAGCATGGCTGTGGTCACCTCCCCGAGCCCTCGCTGGCATCAGCCACTCCGCCAGTCCATGCAGAAGGCACGCCAGCTGTTCGGCCAGAATGATGACACACCGCACAGGTGGCTGACGGGCCTTGTGAGAGAGCTTCTGTTTATAAAGCAGCGAGGTGCCGGCGTGAGAAACTAGGTCTGGTTCTATCAGAGGGACAGAGGCCCGGCCTCCAGCAGCCAACAAGGCAAGCCCTGGGGCCAGGCTGTGCCTGGCGACCCAACCTCTGAGCCTCAGGGGCCGAGGCTCTGATCACCATCACTGCTGTGGTTTTAGCAATTAACCAAGCAGAGAGCTGGGACAGGAGAAGCACACAGGAAATGCTGGCTTTTTTCTTTTCTTTTTTCTTTTTAAATATATTTTTATTGATTTCAGAAAGGGAGAGAGAGAAGCATCAATGATGAGAGAGAATCCTTGATCAGCTGCCTCCTGCACGCCCCTTACTGGGGATCAAGCCCACAACCTGAGCATGTGCCCTGACAGGGAATAGAACTGTGACCTCCTGGTTCATGGTGGATGCTCAACCACTGAGCCACAGCAGCCGGGCTGGTTTTCAGTGAAATCAGATCATATTTTTTGAATGGCTCAGAAAAGAGATCAAAATTGTTTTATTTTCCCTAAATATGTTCAACGATATGTCCGATGGCTCGTTTTTCAAACGCGGTGCACGTCTAACCCTGTGACACTTGCGACATCGCCTGCACGTTTCAGTCCCAACAAAGACAAACCCGGAACCCGTTTCCCTCCCGAGCAGGCCTTGCCTGAAGGAAGAGGATGTCCGCCAGCGGGGACTGGGCCCAGCCACTCGGCATGAGACTCCTCCGCGGGGAGAAGCTGATCCTGACCCCCGGCGCCCACCACCAGAACCATTTTGTTCACCGACAAAAAAAAGGGGGGAAAAAGAAAAAAGAAAAAAAAAAAAAGGAATTCATGATGCTGTACAGAATTTTTATTTTTAAACTGCCTTTTAAATAATATATTCTTATACAGAACGGGTCCTGTGCTTTTTCCTCGGTGGACACGTGTGTCTGAGACACGGGGAGACAAGGGCGCTGTGCTTTTTCGCAGACGCATCCAGAGGCAAGGCCATGTGTGTCCTGTGTTTGTGAGCCATGAGGGTGGGGACCCCAGGCGGCCGGTCATACTGTCAACAACAGACGTACCACAGGCGGTACCAATGCACCGAGAGGTGGGCAGTGAGCGGTCAACGCGCAGATAAGGAGCCGCGTTGACCTTCTCTGCACATGAGGGGTGTCTGTCGCAAGGGAGGAGGCTGTCCTTCTCTTCCTGCCCTTGTCTTAGGGACAAGCATTGGGGACTTTCCGGGGGCACCGGGCCCACAAAGGGAGAGCCAATCCCCGCTTGTTCGTGGTCAAGCTTGAGGGGCCCCCACACCTGAGCTCTCACCCAGAGCCCCACCTGCATCTAGACTCCTGAGCGCCCCAGGGTGGCGAGCCGGCACGGCCATGGCATCCTCAGCCCCACGCTGGGCGCCTAGTGTGCCGCGCCAGCTCAGCCAGGTTCGGTGAGCCTGAGAGGGGGCGGTGAAGGATGGAGAAAAGACAGACAAGAGAATGAAAGCTGGGGCTGGGTGGGACGCTGTCCTCTCCGATGAAGAGCTAGCAGCAGTGCCCGGACCTCAAGCCGTGTCTTTATTTTATAGCCGGTGCCACGAGGCAAAGTAAGGGCGAGGTCAGGATGTTTACCACATTCTCGTGGGTTTCGAATCCACTCAATTACATGCACCTGAACTCTATCAAGCCCACAGCACTCAGGCACGTGGGGCCATAGGGTCAGGCTCACAACTCCAGCTGTTGGCTATCCTTGTGCTGGGGGGGCTCTGCCCTCCACGCTGGGACTTTCACGTGGCCTGAGAGGACTGTGCCCTCTCATTAGGCTGAGGCTTGAACCTGTCCAAGCACGGTGGCCACTCTCCACACCCCAGGGCTGTGGGCTCCACCCGCGCCCCCTCAGGACACCATAACCTGCCGAAGAGCCTCCTCTCTGAGAGCCAGCCTTCAGAGGGCGCCTGTGTAACCTGGTTGGTTCCACATTCTGGGAGCATTCACGCCCTCTTGAATTCCAGAATGTTTCTCCCCATCCTTACAGAATTCATTTTTGAGCTGAGATTTCCCATCTCTTCTGAGAGCTGCGTTTCCCAGACTCTCACACCCATGAATAGGAATGAATTCTCTCCGAGGCTGTGTGTCTGCTTTTCCTCTTTAAAACCCATGGTGCCCTCCCACTCACTCACGCTGGTCCCTCTGGCCACTGTCCTGCCAGAGCCAGGCCTTCCTCATGGCCTCGGGCAAGGACAGCATGGCCTGGCCTTGGCAGAGGGACTGCCCTCCTGCCCTCCCCTCCTCCCTCAGATCCTTAAATGGTGCCCGCTGTGGGTGTCAGGCACCACATGGCCCGCCCCCTGGAGCTCACGTGAGCTGGAAAACCAGCGGATAAAGGGGTTGTTGTGGAGCAGACGCTCCTGCACAACTGGTGGCCACACACACGCCTGGGAACATGGGGGAAGCGAGCCTGAGGGCGGCTGCAGAGTGACCTCTGAAGGACCAGTGGGCATGAGGGGGAGGGCGAGGAGGAGAAGAAGAAGGAGGAGGAAGAAGAGGAGGAGGAAGAGGAGGAGGAGGAAGAGGAGGAGGGGAAGGAGAAAGAGGAAGAGGGAGAAGAGGAGGAGGAGGGAGAGGAGAAGGAGGAGAAGGAGGAGGAGTGAGAGGAGAGAGAGGAGGAGGGGGAAGAGGAGGAGGAGGAGGAGGAGGAGGATGAAGAGGGAGAGCCCCCAGGCAGCTCGAGCCACAGCCTTTGTGACCTGCTTTCTGGAGGAGGCGGCCCTGAGCCCGGATGGATGAGCAGCCCAGAGAGCCAGGCGAAGACCCAGCAAGGCAGCGCCCACAGCAGGTGCAGCGGTGAGGCCGGGGCGAGGCGGGGCCTGGGCCACAGGCACTCGGGGGTGTCTGTGCAGAACAGTGGGACTCGGCCACACTGGAGACTGGAGGCCAGAGATCCGGGAGGGGGGGGGGCAGGGGTATGAGGGGGCCCTGAGGACTGGCCTTGGCGGCCAGTTGTGGGAACGAGGGGGGATGTCCACCTGCCGTCACCACCGAGGGCACTCGCAGGCTGACCGGCCCGTTTGTGCCCTGCGCTGTCTCCAGCTCCAGCGTCCACAGAAGGAGCCTGGCCACCGGCCGGCCCATGGCCTTGCTGCTCCCAAGGAAGTTCCACCAGCCCGGGCTGGTGTGGGGTGACTCCCATGGTTGACGTAGCTCGGCACCTGCAGAAAATAACTCCCCAGGTCCCCGCACGGCCTAGGGATGCCTCGGCGACATCCGTGTGAGGCCCAGACATTTGCCACGTGAATAAATGGACTCGAGTTGTGGTCACTGCCCCCAGAGAATCAGGTACGAGAAGGAAGTCGTCCTGCAGAATGTGTGTGTGTGGTGGAGGCAGGAGAACAGGAACACGTGTGTGTGTGTGTGTGTGTGTGTGTGGGTGTGGGTGTGGATGTGTGCGTGCACACTCATGCACGTACATGCACTATTACACACTGACCCTCCCTCCCGCTGAGAGAAAGGAAGTGGAATGAGGAAGAGCTGGCAGGCATCTGTCCTTGGCCCGGTCTCTCAGATCTGTGCCAACAGGGTGGAAACAAGGGACGCGTGGACTTGGCTGAGGAACAAAGGGCCAGGTGAGGGCGAGGCGGCGCAGGAGGACAGGGGTCTTCACCGAGCAGTGGGACGCGGCAGCTGAGCTTCTCGATTCTTCGTGGCAGAGAGGGCTCTGCAGTCATTTCTGCTGTTTTCCTCACAATTTTACAAAACATTCAAACTGCACCGGACGTGCCAGCTGCGGTGGGTCAGAGGAAACGGTAGGCGGCGATGGCTGGCTCACCGACCTGCCTGTCCTCTCTGCCGCTGGTGGGTGCCCAGAGGTGCCTGTTGAGTGGCTGATGAGTGTCCTCGGGTGCTAACAGCCACAGGAAGTGACTGGCAGTGGGGCATGCAGTGCCTGGTACTATGGAAATCCCTGCTGGCTCTGTGGGCCATGCTGCCCCCAGCAGATGGATGCGGGGTGCTGACCACAGTTTACTGGATGCGAAGGAACCCACAGACATGTTCCTCCCATTTACATACCCCTGCTCCCCTCAGACAAGCTCGTCCATCCTGAGAGGGACCCCTGGAGCGTCCGGAGTCCCAGCCAGCCTCCTGCAGCCGCGTCCCCTACACTGGCCTCCTCTACCACCAAGACGCCCACCCTGTTTTTTCTAAACCTTCCGGGAAGTACTGATCTCCAGTGCGGAGGCCCCTGGCCAGCCCTACACCGAGCAGCGGACACCTTCCCTGCACAGCACCCGGGGCCAGTGGCATAAGACACCTTTCTACCCTGCAAGCAGACAGTATTGTTTTTCTTCATATTTATGGTTAGGGAGACCCCACCCCTAAAGGAACAAGCAGCCACACTTGAGGTCATCCTGTAGCCCCCCGCCTGGAGACCCCAAATGCCCCCGCCCCCAGCCTCTCCAGACATCCAAGCTCCCTCAGAGCTCACCTGAACGAGACCATGATATGGGGCCAGTGTTTGGACCTTAATTAGATCTGCAAGTGATGATCATAATTAGGTGTTTAATTACCCAGAGTCAATCATGCAACTCGCACTGAATGAGGTGAGTGTGGAGTTCGTGGGAATAACCGTGGTGGTTGAACTGTTTTATTAAATACTGCCTGATCTTTTCATGCTGTTGGGCACCTTCAAGATCTAACCTTGCCCGTGAACTTGTGAGCCTCCCCCACACCTACCTGATAGGAGAAAAGGGGTCAGACCAGACATCCCACCAGTCACATCAGCAGATGAGTTACAAACTGCAAAAATTTCCACTAAGGAATTGGAAGCCTTAAAAACAATCGTGTTCCCTTAAAGAGCTAACACCTGGCAGGTAAGGTGTCCACCCACCGGCATCTCAAAAGACTGGAGCAAACTGGCTGAAGAGGATCGCCCCAATTAGCTCGAGGGAGGTCAATTCTCTGCTTTCTTGCTGGTGCCCAGCCTGGTGTGGGCAAGAAGGGCTTAAGGATGCTTGATGAACACATGAATGAATGAATCAATCAATCAATCAACAATTAAATAGCAGGTACATGGACTGTTATTTATACAGCTAACCTGGTTAAAAAAAAAAAAAAATTATTGGGTTTAATGCTCCTGTTTCCAGCTTTGCATTAAAACTGACTTAAAGGAAGCTTGGAAGAGGAATCAGGGGGTAAAATGCATGCTGTGCTCCTCCCCATCCACTTTCGACCAGTGGTCAGCAAACTGCGGCTCTGTTGACCCATGTGCCAGTGGAAGGACATCTGGGCTGCTTCCAGTTATTTTGCTCTTTCGAATCAAGCTGCCATAAACACTGACTAAGAGGGTTTTTTATGAATATGACCTTTCATCTCTCTGGGACGAATGCCAAGGAGCGTGATCACCCGGTAATATGGCAGTTGTTTACTTTTCCAGGAAACTGTCATTCCAGAGTAGCTATGCCTGTGTACTTTCACATCAGCAATGCAGGAGGGGCCCAGTGTCTCCACACGCTCATTGGCTTTCTGTGTTTTCCCCGTTTTATGTTCGCCATTCAGATGGGTGTGCAGGGCTGGCCCGTGTGGCCTTCATGTGCCTGTCCCCATTGGCTAAGATGTCGGACATCTGGCAGAATGTACACTGCGTGTCCTCACTGGCAAAATGTGTGCTCATGTCTTGTGTGGGGAGGGGGTGGT